AAAGTTGAAAAGAATGGGGTAGCATAGGGTACGAAAGTGGAGAGAGGGGATAAAGCGAGTTCAGGTCCAGGATGACGATAGAGGGAAGGAAGGGTAGGTAAGTCGCGCGACCGGACAGTGTAAGTGAACGATGTCGACGGTCAAATTTCAAGATGGTGTCAAAGAAGAAGATAGAAGACGAGAGGCTCGGGTATTGTTTCAAGAAAACTCAGTCAGAGGAGAATGGTGTTGAGCAAAGGCGATGGCGGGGGAAGGAAAGACGCGCGTCGCGTTGTCTCCTTCGACGCGTCGCGCGCTTCGTGTCGCGTCGCGTCGGGTTGCGGTCGTGGTAGCGGGCCGGACCCGGACTGCGATTCTACAAGCCAATGAGAACGCTTCCAAGATCACGTGCCCGGTCCGGTGAAGGGATTCGTTTGCCTCAAGCCGGGTTCTCCGAGCCCCGGAATTTTCGATCCAACTTCTACATACAGCTCGCCTGTTACGCATGTTGCGGCCCATGATGCATGACAGCTGGATAGACACTGATATAGCACAAGAATCGCATGTCGCGAGTTAGACCAAGGGGTCGCTACTGTATTAATACGCGAAATGGATGAGGTCACCGAACAGTACTTGATCGCCTCATCGTCTCTTCGAGTCGCGACGCTCACGATCATCGGTTGGTGACCGTTCTCGTCTTTTTCTATGAGCACCATCAGCATCTCGCGCCAGTACCGCACTCGCCGTCACTGACCTTGCTGTCCGGTCTTCGTGAGCATCAGTGGGTGTTCGGCTACTACGCTCGCCGCCGCCATAGTCCAGACCGTCGACCGCCGGAGCATTGTTGTCGCGGTCCTTGTATTTGTTGGCGTTGCGGGGTCCGGTGGGCACGTTGGGAGGCAGAGGTGATGCTGCACGCGCAGGAGCGGTAGGCGTCCCTCTCCCACGTCCGGCGAATTGACGCGCGGCACCCCGCTGAACCTGTGGCGATCCTCCGCGCCCACGCTGATACTGAGTTTGAGGTATTGACCCGCCGCGCATGCCCTGCGTCTGCTGCTGGTTCGGCTGCTGTGGCTGCTGCCCGGCGTTCGGGTTCACCTGAGTGGGTAGTGCGCCCTGCATGGGCGTGGGCGCCTGTTGCTGTTCCATTGCCTGGTATATTTGTTGTTGCATAGCCGGGTCCTGTGCATCAAAAGCCCTTCAGCGGCTTATCCAGACAACTCACCCTCGCACCGACGTACCTGCATCCCAAAGTCGCCCTGCATGCCTATGGGCATTCCGCCAGGCTGACCGAATCCTTCACCGCCCATTCCACCCTGCTGAGCACCACCGTCCATACCCATCTCTGGCATCCCGCCCATCATCGGGTTGACATTCATCATCCCCATATTCTGCATGTTCTGCATATTTTGCATATTTTGCATGTCCATGCCCATCCCGTTCATCCCGCCCATGTCGCCCGGACCCATCATGCCTTGCATCATTTGCGGGTTCGCGCCGCCGGCCATCATGGCGTTAGTACCGGCCATGACCATCTGGCGGACTTCGGGTGGTAGTTGTGTGATTTGCTCTTCAGGCATACCGGCGAATGTCTTGTGGAAACGGTCAGCAATTGTATCCCGGATATAGCTACGGTAGCGACATACAAGGACGTTCGTCTTCAAGACCTCTGCAGCATCGCCCAATTCTCTCCTGCGGAAACAGTACGCCTCCCAGCTTATCTCGTCAAAACCATAGTTGAACCAGTCACTCAGGTCGGCGCCTGGTCTCCTCCAACCCTTGTCGGCCAGGTTTGCTAGGTCGACCTCATACACTGGACGGCCGTCGACGACAGCAGTCGCAGCGGGATCAATAGGCGGGTGCGACCCGGGCGCTTTCACCGGTGGTAGCGTAGAAGGATCCGGTCCCTCATCCACAGGTTCTTCTACGGGTGCCGGTGCTGCAGCGGGTTGACTGCCCGTTGGGGCCTGCTGTGGCGCAGGAGTGGATTGCGGCGTAGCGGCAGGTAGGGCAGGTGCTGGCGCTGCTGTTGCGCGGTCGCGTGGGGTGTACTCAGTGGTTAATGAAGGCGCAGGTCCGGTCGAGGCTATAAGAACGTGAGGGCTCGAGTTCATATTTCAGGATGAAGATACCATACCTCTTGTAGGCGTGAATACAGCACTATTGTTCCGTACACCGCCTCGATTCGGTCTATATACAGCCTTCAATATATGACACAGAGTGAAGAACCAACTCCACGCACCGTAGATCCAAGCTGCGAGACGCGGGCTCCATGATAAACTCGACATCCTAAGATAATATTCAGTACCAGAGTATTCACTGAATTGCAAGCACGCACATCGTCGCTCTCCTCTTCCTCTTCCTCCTCCTCACTCTCTTCCATCGGCACACTGGCTTCGCGGACTGGAGGTGCCGCCTCAGACGCCGCACGTGACGGGTCATTCGTACTGGCAGCCGACTCGGCAGGCTGAACAGCTACTGGCTCGGGTTCAGGCTCGGCTGAGCCAAATATAGGGAAGTCCGCCTCCTCGTCTTCATCCTTCGCTTCGGGCGCTCTATTGTCACTTGAGCTCACACGGCTTGTGGCGCACCCGTATTCATCACTCACGGTGTAGGGGCTGAAGCGCACCCATAGACGAGTATGAGCAAATGACATTATATTTCAAAGGTACCGTACACAAAAAGTGCGTGGGGACAGGGTAAAGTAACCTCACCGACTGGCTGCGCTGGTGTGGCCGGGGCTTCTACTGGCGCGGGAGCAGCTGGCGCAGAGTCCCCGTACAGAAAATCGTCGTCATCCCTATCGCGCTATTAGCAAATTTTCAGGCGGTTCGGCATAGCACCAACATGGTAGAGAATGCGTGTAGTCGTGGTGCGAGTCCAAGCCCACTTCGACGCGACCTCGGACGCGACCTCGGAGTCAAACGCGTGCATGCACATATTCCCACGCTTAGTACGACCTCGATTGAATTGCATTCGATTCTCATTGAACTATTGAGGGACTATGGACGACTAGGTAGTACTAAGGCGACATGCGATGTATGGAAACAAGGAACGTCTATGGATGTAATGCGGGTAAGAGTAAAAGATGCCAAAAAAGTGAGATGCTCATCAGTCTAGAAATGTGCGACGTAGGTAAGCGTGAAAGCAGGCGTGAGCGTGGTATCTATTCGTGCAATGCGAGAGCAAATAGCAAGCGGACAATGGAAACCAGCATGCACGACGACTACCGCCTAGCGTAGCGCAGATAGCGGGAGGCGACGATGACGATGATGAAGTTCGCGCAGAAGAACGCGAAGATGATGAACACGTCGCGCCAGCGGTTGTCGAAGCTGATGTTGAGCGGCGTGTAGAACTCGTCGCCGACCTTGTACTGGCAGTACTGGCAGCTGTCCGTGGCGTCCGGGTTGTTCAGGTATCCACCCGCGACGTTGACGAAGTCGCTTGCCCACTGGCTGCACGTCTGACCCGACGGCGGTGAGAAGACCGCGAACTCATCGTCCTTGCACCTGATCTCCAAGCCGTGAAGCTCCGTGCTCAACGCCGCGGCAAGTACGCGCGTGAAGGGGTTGAGCTCGTAGAGCCACGAACGCCAGAAGTGGATCATTGACGGGTACGGGATCGTCACACCGCAGAAGGTCGAGAGGATGACCATGATCGCCGGGTTGAACAGGACAGCGACCTGGACGCTGGGCGTGATGGCGCCGATGGCCTGACCGAGAGTGACACCGAAGAACTCCACGAAAAGGATGAGCAGGAGCTGGAAACCGGTGCCGTTGAGACCCGCTGAGCCTTGACCAAAGCCTTGCGGGTATACGAGGAGGACCCAGTAGCAGATGGCGCAGAGGATACTGTACGGCATCTCACCCAAGAGCTGCGAGATGGCAAACACCTCGGGAGAGTAGATGCGTGACGAAGCCTCACGGATGAAGACGCGACGGTTCTGAAAGCGAATCAGTTATTGGCAGATGTGCACGAAAGAGAGAAGCTTACAAAGAGGAACATGGGCTCGATTTGCGACATCAGGATGGCAGGCAAGATGGTGATCCAGAAGCTGCCATGACGTCAGCACATCATCGCTCGAAGAGAATACAACCACGTACAGAGAGAAGACGCGGTACTGCAGGTCGCGAACACCATCGCCAAGCTGCAGGAACGGCAGCGAGATGAAAAGCGAGATGAACAAGTGTACGAAGAGGCGCGTGAACACGTAGTCCGGCGAGCGCCAGAAGGCCTTGGCCGTGCGCTGGCAGACGACGAAGAGCTGCGTGAAGAACGGAGCGGCGTCTGTGAGCACTGTTAGAAAGGTACTGGCACAGCAGCAAGTAGATCAACGTACAGGACAGCGACTTCTTGTTGCTATCGTCCGGCTTGGCGAGACCGCGCTGCTTGATGTCCTCAATCTCAGCAACGACCTTCTTGTACTCGGGGCTCTCCAACCAAATCTCAGCCCAGTCCTTATCTCCGACGCGAGGCGTGATACCGGCACCAATAGCATCGAGCATGTACTCGGCGGGGTTGACGTTGGACGGACACTCAGCACCATGGCGGGAGAGGTAGCTGCGGAGAACGTGCGAATCCGCGCCGATCTCGCCGAAGTAGACCGTGTAACCACCGCGCTCGAGGAGCAAGAGGCGGTCGAAGGACTCAAAGAGGAGCGAGGAAGGCTGGTGGATCGTGCAGAGGATGGCCTGGCCCTGGTCGGCGAGCTTACGCAAGAAGCGGACAAGGTTCCACGCGCTCTGGGCGTCCAGACCGGAGGTGGGCTCATCGAGGAAGAGAAGCAACTCGGGCTTGGATGCGAGCTCAACACCGATGGTGAGACGCTTGCGAGCCTCTACTCCGAGAGTAAAGACGATTGCGTCCGCGAGGTCCTGGAGTTCGAGCAGCTCGATCATCTCCTCGACGTAGGCGTCCTTCTCCTCCGTAGAGATTGAGGCAGGTTGACGCAAGTAGGCCGAGAAACGCATGGCCTCACGAACGGTTGCGGTGCCCTCGTGAACGTCCTGCTGCTCAGCGTATGCGGTGCCACGGGCGAAGTCCGAGCCGAGAGGGCGACCGTCGACGAGGAGGTCACCCTTGACAACACCGATGTTCTTGCGCTGAGCGAGCACGTCGAGACATGTCGTCTTGCCGGCGCCGGACGCACCCATAAGGGCAGTGAGGGTGCCAGGCTTGACATAACCGTAAACGTCGTTGAGGAGCTGCTTCTGGCCTCCGGGAACGGGGACAAAGTAGTTGACACGCTCCCAAGTGAAAGTGCGACGGTCGGCAAACATATTCCTGTGCAGCAGTCAGCAACGTTGAGATGGAACGAGAATATCGCGAACGTACGGGTCCTTCTCCTCGGGCTTAGCGTCCATAAGCGCCGTCTTCTCCTTCTCGTGAAGGGCAAGTTTCTCTTCGCGACGGCGCAAGAGCTCTTCGTTAAGCTTTTTGCCCTCGGCGCTAGGCTTAGCGAAGAGACGGAAACCAGCGCCACCTCCGCCAGCATCGGGCATGAGGTAGTCCAGCGCGACAATCTGCGTAATCTGGAAGAACAGGATCCAGCCGATGCAGACGAGGAAGTTGCGACGCCAGAGGTCGGCAGTGTTGTAGGAGTAGCCGATGTTGAGATAGTCCGCGCCGTTGACAGTCGTTGAGCCGGGCTGGGCGCCGAAGATGGTGCAGACCTGGTTGGGGCCGACGGTGTCCGGGTACTTCGTGACGTCGCCAATATTGCGCGGGACAACGTATGAACCGTCGCAGGCGAAGGTGATACGACCAAACTCGTTCTCCATAAGCGCGGAGTAGGCGTACTGCATCGGGTCGATGTAGAAGATCCAGAACAGCCAGCGCTTCATCTCTTGAACGGGAACCATGTAACCGACGTCTGGGAGATCGTGTCAGTGAGCGGCGACTTTCGAAGAAATACAGCGCAACGTACAAAAGATGATGTTAGGGATGAAGAAAGACCCCAGACGGAACGCCTGATCGAAGTTCGAGCATAGCTGACCGAACGTCCGGAAGAAGCCCTGCATGCCGAGGAAAGCCATGTAGTTAATAAGATGGAAGGTCCAGAACGCGCCGCCGTTGTAGACGAGGCCGGCCATGAAATAGACGATGACATCGTAGATGAAGAGACGAGTGGCAGAGAACGGAAGGTCGGCGAGTGTGTTGGCCAGTGATAGAGCGGAGGGACGGTATAGGCTGTAGGCGGTCTGCTTCTTGAGAATGCGGCGACCTGTGATCTGGACCGGAAGCTGAGAGAAGATCGGTAAGCACACATCAATACAGATGAAATAATGAACAAACCTCTCCGAAGGCGTCAAGGGCACTCGTGAGCATGGCAGCGAAAATGACCGAGCCACGAGTGAAGGCACCCTGCGCCGTGAGCGGCAGATGGAAGTAGGCGCCACCAAGAACCAGAGCGAGGACCGTGGACAGGGTGAAGCTGGTGATCAACTGGAAGCGGTCCTGCAGGCGCTGGGCGAACTGGCGCTTGGTAAGACCCCAGACCTGTCCGAAGTAACCGAGGGTGTATGGGGACTTCTTCGAAACACCGCGTTTCTTATCCTCGAGAACACTCTGCCTGAATGCCTCCTGATCCGCACGCTCCGTTTCCATCTTGAGCTTGAACTTCTCGAGATCCTCGTTCATGTTAGAGGCGAAGTGCGAGGAGAGATAAGCCTGCTCGAGGTCCTCCGGAGAGGAAGGGACGTCCGCTGCAGTGCGACCAGGTGCGAATTGACGCTCGTTGGGATCCGTGCAGCCCGTGAGGTAGTCGGGAGTCGATTGACGGGGCAGAGCACGGTAACCGAGACCCTCGAAGTAGCGGCGAGCCTCGGACGGGGGACCGAAGTATACCTGGCGACCGTGATCGAGAACCATGACTTTGTCGAACAGCTCGTAGATACCCTCGCCAGCCTGGTACAGTGTAACGAAGGTCGTCTGGCCGAGCACGTCAGTCATAACGCGGAGACCCTTCGCATAATCAAGAGCCGTCGAAGCGTCGAGACCGCGAGTCGAGTTGTCCCAGCACTGAACGCGAGCGCGGGTGGCCATCATCTATATCACAGGTCGGACGGTGGGCATCAAACATTAGACGCATGCATATACGGACCTCGGCAATGGATACACGCTTGCGCTCGCCTCCACTGACACCGCGCACGAACTCGTCGCCGACAAGAGTGTTGGCCTAACGGCATCTGAGTGACTGGGAAAGCAAGCTACATGGCAGACCGCTCACCGTATGCTGAATGTTGAGCATCTTGAGGAGCATCTGAAGGACCTCCTGCTGGAACTCCTTACGGGAGACGCCAGGGAGACGGTTTTTCGGGCCGGGGGTCTTGAGAGAGAGCGCGAACGAGAGCGTCTGTGCGACCGTGAGGGTGGCAATATGGAGATCGTCCTCCTCATTATAGACCACCTCGCCCTTGTAGTACTTGGCCATCTCGTCCGCACTGATACCCGCGTATTTGACGTCGCCATCAATGGACGCATACTCGGCGCGCTGGTTGGCAATCGCCTTGAGGAAAGTAGTGCAGCCAGAGCCGGGTGTGCCGAGAACTAAAACCATTTCACCAGGCTTTGCGACACCGGATTGCCTATTCGGGCAAACATGAGAACATGCGGGGCGCGACAGGTCAAATGGTACGCACTTATGCAAGATAGTGGATGTCACGACATTCTTCTTGGGAAAGAAGCGGGAGAACCAGGACCAGATCCAGAAAATGATAGTAAGACCGCTTTGCAGAACCGCGACTGAGAGAGTGTGGATCAGTGGCGGGATACTGGTAAACGCGTACAGAAGACTTACGGTCAAAGGTGGTGATATATGCCTATCGCGACGGTCAGTAAAGTCTGCGAATCCCGAATACACCGGTGCCACTAACCTTAAAGCCGATGCCTCCGAAAACGTTGACCTGCATATCCTCCCAAAAGACTCCGACATGCTTATGCTTAATACCGGCGGCCTGTTGGGCATCGTTCGAAGACTGCAGGTAGTCGCGCAAGTTGAAGACACCATCGTCCTCGCCACCTTTCTCAGCATCGTGGTGAAGACTACGTTTTTGAGATTCGATAGTCAAGCGGCGCTCGAGCGCGTGAAAGACGCGTTCTGCCTCCGCCACATCGACTTGGTCTGAATGCAGTCGCTCGTTGGGTGAAATGTGCGGCGACGCGGAACCCTCGCGCAGGGTCGCGGCGTCCGAGGAAGCGCTCATGGCCGTGGCGCAAGTAAAGGCGCGGGAAGGGTGTGCGGCTGCAGAGAACGCTTGCCCCACATCCGCGCTCGCCTTATAAACTTCTTCGCAAAGACCCTACCTGAACAGCGGGCTAGGTGGGTCCGTATCCCGGCATAGTCAGCTTCCTGCTGGGCGGCCAATCATCACCGAGCGGATGATTATTGCTCCCGAGCTATATCACCGAGAACATGCTCAAGAGCGCGGTGCCATCGCCCATCGCGCGTCTTCCGTTTGTCACAACTTTGGAAGAACGGGGGGACGCCCACGGGGATCCCTCCGCACTGCAAAAATGGCTACTGAGCCAGCGGTACCGGCTCAGATAATATATGCTGTATGACTCTGGCCTCCACGGACATCCTCCCGACATGAGCACGGATCTCAGCGACTCAGACTGCTCGTACTGGCAACCAGACGATGGGCAGGAGAAAGGGTCGACTGCTGAGGTGGATCACGGATCGTCCGTTTGATCGCACGAACTCCATTATGCCGCGGCAGTTTGCGGACTGGGCAGGGCTAAACCAGAGTCTGACGCGCGCGCGGCGTGGCGACGCGCCTCAACGCGTCGAGCGTCTATTGCAACTTGGCTTCGTGCTTCTAACTACTACACATCTTGTATGGCATCCCAAACTCAGGGACCAGATGCTATAGATGGAAAGAGCTCAGCTGCGCGCTTGCTTCTAAGAGCTAAAGAGCGTGGTCCGTAACTCTCGAAGTAAACCCGGAAGAGTAGCGTGTTCACACTGCGTATTCGTTCCTTTATAGCATCGCTTCAACAGACGTATAGCTCGGACCCGAAATACAAGAAATACGCGCAGCAGGTTGAGAAATGTCTGGCGTCGTTTGATAGTGTACATGAATGGGCGGACTTCATCGCCTTCTTGAAGCAGTTGCTCAAGGTGCGCGTCCATAGTGCATACTTGAAAGCCTCTCGTATAACCCTGCCATAGACGCTCCAAGCATACCTGCAGTTCAAGGAGATCCCACGGAAGTTGATAGTGGCAAAACGTTTGGCGCAATGCTTGAATCCAGCCCTGCCGACCGGCGTGCATCAGAGAGCGCTGGACGTATACTCGCACATATTCGGCATCATCGGTGTACGTGCCCTGAACGCGAGCTGGGCCACAGAGCTGACATAGGATATATATATATTCAGTCTGAGGGTTTACGTCGAGATCTGTTCCTATGGACTTCCGGCCTGTTTCCATTCTTCGAGTACGCCGCAACCTCGGTCAAGGTGCGTATACTCACTATAGCCCAGTTGCACGCATTCATATTCTATCTAGCCTGCATTGCTTCAGGTATACGACGCCTACCTGCTACCATTGCAGAGTAGCCTACGACCAGTCATGAAAGCATTCATCATATCTCTGCTGCCTGGTTTAGAGGAAGAGACCGGAGAGTTCTTTGACCAGGTGCGCGTGCAGCGCTGAGATCGCCCGGGACTGTCACTCATCATAGCTATAGGTTCTGGCCCTGCTTGACCGACTATCCGGCACCATCTCTCCCTCCTTCTTTTTGCAGAACGTCTGGCTGGTCATGCTCACATCTCCACCCGCTCGTGGCACCGCGTTGAACTTCCTCTCTCGTCGACTCCCGAAACTGAATCCTGAAGAAGATATCACGCACATCGTCGGCGAGGACATTGGACTTATGATTCGTGCTTTCGCTGCTGCATTAGAGGATGAGAATCTACTCGTACGACGCGGTGCTCTGGAGCTGCTGCTCACCACGCTGCGCTTGGACAGTGCTGCGGTTCGTGATGCTTCTGCTGAGGATCGGACAATCTTGATGCGTGCTGCCACCAGCGTTGTGATGCGGCGAGACTTGTCTCTCAATCGTCGACTATACAGCTGGTTACTGGGTCCCGGTGAGGTTGCGGAGCAGCAAACGGAGTATCTCCGTACTCATGGACTCGGCTTGCTCAGCTCTACATTGCGCGTACGTCCAGGACACTCCTGCAATCGTGCAATCACTTACCCCTACTCTACAGAACGAGATGAACGCCCCTTCGTCTGAATACTCCCAATCTCGACCGTATAAGATCTTTATCTCGTTATTGGACAAATGGGAGATTGGTGGACCTCTTACGGATGTGCTGGTCCTCGACGCCTTCCAGTCTCTCAAGACGTCCATTTATAATGATAGCGACGCGAAGGAGGAGGTATGCTCATACTTTTACGGGTTGTGACTCCGTGCTTATTGCTGCCTTAGCTCTCGCTGACCGCTAGTACCCTCTATGAAGCAGTCGAACCGCAGGTTGTCTGGAAACATCTGCTGGCAGGCATCGTAAAAGAAGCAATTGTAGACGATGCAGGCTCTCGGGTATGTGAATGTATGCGTATGTGATGAACTTCTTTGACCGATATGTAGATCATTCGACTGGCGCGTTGGTCGCTCACATCGACATTCGTGCGAGACGCGGAAGTCCAAAGCGCGCATCTGCCCTTGGTCTTTTCTGCTGTCGTTGAAGTCCTTCGGGTGCGTCCATGATGAACCCATCAATGGACCCGCATACGGTAGCTCACCCATGCACAGGATCAAGTAGTATCAGACCCTGCAGTCATGACACGCTCTTCAGTTCAAGAGCTCATGCCACTCCTCTCTATCATCGCTGAGCGGTCTACGGTGGCGGCTCTCGCTACCGGCCTTGAATTGCCAGCGCGTAATGAGAGTGTGGGTTTAGGGCCATACTCGGCTGCCTGCATATTTTATGGTTTGGAGCTGGGTTGTAGTTTGAAGGAGTCCCATGCACGATCGAACGTGCCTGCTGCTACGATTTTGGAGGACCTCTCCACCATCGCGTCGACCTCTGCTCAGACTTCAGCACGACCTGGGCGCCCAATCGCGGTGAGGGCTCTCACTCTCATGCTCGATCTTCTGCAGTCCTTCGCCAGTCAAAAGATCGCACTCAGCGCCAAACTCGAATGGAACGCGGACGAATGGCTAGCAAGTATGCTTTCGGCAGTCGAAAGTGATGTGAGTCAAGTCCTCTTACGTTCCAATGGTCGCATCATTGATGCACGCTAGCACGCAACGTTCGTTGAGATAGACCGGATCGTATCACTTGTGATTGCGATGCAAGAAACTCCAGGTTTCACCCCAACGATATCCCTGCGACCGCGCCATACGGTCTTCCGACTAGTGAATCTAGTGAGTCAGCTCATTTTTGCGTTCACCGGCTGCGGTCGGGGTACCGCACCCGGGCTACTTCTCGCCTTTAGACGTTACTAATCGATCGGCGTTTAGCTTTTGAGATATCTCCGACCGGATTACTCGGCATACCACCAGCGCTGTGTCAGTCTAATCTGGGCCCTGGATACGTGTACGAAAGGACGCCACATCGAATCTATCATCGCCCAGGCTCTCACATCTCCGGAGTCGAGGAGCAATGATGGGGCTTACGAGGCATTTGGGATCTTCTGGAGGCTTACGGGTATGGCGGAATACCGTGTTCGCATTCCAGTTGAGGACTAATTACCACCCTCATGCAGAGGACGAACTATTACCGGGTTTCCGCTTCAAGGTACCGCTTATGATCGTCCTCGACACACTCAAGAGTGACGATCCCAACTTGCGCCGGATCGGCGAAACATGGATGCGCTGTAGCTTGAAATCCTATTTACGGTGCGTGCGAACACCCCAGATACACGCCTTGCGTCTGATTACATCGTAGCGTATTGGATCCCCTTCTCTACGATCTCCTAGACCCTGCATTACATCGGCTTCCCTCCGTCACGAAGGTCAACGGCAAGGAGCTTCAAGACTTTGAGTACGAGCGCCCAATCGACCAATCGTATCTCAAGTATGTCCTGGAGACGTTGCTATCTGTGGTTCGCTTCGGAGGGCAAGGGTTTGGCAAGACAGCACGCACGACGCCCGTGCGCAAAGGCCACCACCCGGGCGTTTCTGAGCGTGTCGAAGCTGGTCTGTCGGTTGTTGCCTTCATCTCTCGTGCAAATGTTAATGGGCCCGTCGCAGCCGGTCTTGGTCAGGATGCCACCTATCAAGACGTCCTTGTTGATGTTTTGACACGGTAGGCAATCACAATCGCGCATATGAACATATATTAAGTGCACTTTCAGCTTCCTGCAATCCGAATGCAAATCGAAGCGGGTGAAAACTATGGCTCCCGGCAACCTCGTTCTACAAGCGACCGCCGTTGATCTCCTCCAGGCCCTCGTCAGTCGCGGAGAAGTGGATGTTATCGCGCTCGAAGTGTTAGAGGCGGCCGTCGTTGGTAAACTTTATGTCTGCGCGCATACACAACGCCTCGAGCTCCAGAACAAGCTTCTCCACCTTCTCCACTCGGTCATCTCCGCTGCACATACCGCACACCATTCACGCCACCGAGCAGCTCCTTCTGTGTCTAGCATTCCTTCCGGACATGACCCGACGACGGAAGCCCAGTCCGCCTACTCTGTCAACCCGCTACTTGTGCAGACTCTCATCGACGGCGTCAGTCTGGTCTCGAACCGTCCGACCTTGCAGCACTGGCTCGACTTCATCCTCATGACCGTACCCCAGTTCCCGCAATCCATGCAGTCCGCACTTGCGCCGCTAAGCGACTGCGTGGGGCGACAACTTACCGCATGCATGGAAGAGATGCGGTCCGCTGCTAGCGTGGATGCAGACATGCAGGGAGACGTGCGCTCAAGCACAACAGACGCCGACTTCCTCATGCTTCTCAACGCACTGGAGAGGTTGATACTTCTCAACCTTCAGAATCCCGATCCGGGTCCCACCGATGAAGAGGAAGTGGGTCCTCAGAAGCCTGCCGGCGTCGAAGGAAGCAGTGGTATTCTGGGCATCATGACTAATGTCTTTGCTTCGGACTCTCCACCGAGCGCCGTGGATGAACAACTGACGGTATACCTGAGTTTCATCCCACCGGTCATGATATGTATGCTCATCATTCTCGCGCTAGACACGCTCTCCCGGGTACCGTGCTCTGAACGATGGCATCCGCGTTCTTTTCAACCTATGGACGACGCTCAACTGGACCGAATCCGGCGCCTGGACACCACGAAACGAGTCTCTGTCCATGATCTTCAATAAGACGCGGTCACGGTGCCGACGAGCATTCGAGCACCTCTTCCGACTGCATTCGGCTGAGGTCCTCGAATGTGTCATCGAGTGTTGGAGTCGAGATACACCTGTACGTGGTGCCAGTTCCCGATGACTACGAAGGTGCTGACTCAGGCTTGCGCAGGCCCCGTCTTCGACAACGTTCCAACTCGTGGACGTCCTGACGTCCAGTGCGCAGAACCTTGTGCATATGCTCTGCGAGAGCGTTGCATGTCGCACGCCCGGGCTGGCCGATAAGCACCGAAGGGGAGCCGTCAACCCCAATCTGTACGAGCTTCTCTTCATTTCTCGGATATACCTGGACTCACGAGGTGCAGGTCGGATGCGACGTTATTCCTGTTCTTGGAGCAGTACTTACAGCAACTCGAGGGACCTCTCGCGCTGCAAGTATGGGGTCGTTTCCTGCAACTAGCGAAGGATATACTCGCGAACGTGAAGGACTCGCGATCGCAGATCTTCCCGACCTTGCGATGCTTCTCTGTGCTGGCCAGTAAGCTCACACGGACGACCGCCATCGAGGATCGACGGCTTCGCAAGGACCTTCAAGATGTCTACGCCAAGCTCCTTGATGCTGTGCTGCTCTCTGTGAACCGTAACGCTGACTCATCGTTCTGGTCACGGAGAGGGTTGAAGGATGGGGCTATCACTGGACGAGACTCGCCTGCGCCGAGGTCGCTGGCAGAGACGAGGCTAGATAACGAGAAGAATGCGAGCACGACGTCTTTGCTATCGCCAGCGTCGTCAGACTCGTCGGAGACGGTACGTATACTGTTACGAGCGTATGGGTTTTGTACTCATTGTGGTGCATAGATCATCCAGTTCATGTCGAGCGACGCATTGCCACATCTGCGGCAGTACCTTCTCGACAACGACAAGATCTTAGTCGCCTGTACCAACATCATGTACTACATCGTCTCTCCCGCGATCAAGGGCAAGACCAGAGCTCTGGACGTGGACGTCTCCGTATTACAGATCATTAAGGAGATGAGCCAGCTCTCCTCGGCGCTCAAGGTCTGGCGAGGCGTCGTCTCTGAGATCGTCTCCGATACCCGCTTCTTCAGCTGCTCTCCCGAATCCGAGGCGCCCTTCCGCCCAATCGTCCAGGCATGGCTCAGAGCCGACAAGTCCGCCTTCCCTGAGGTTACGGGAAAGATCACGACGGTCTCTTCGACAAACATCTTCACCAACCGGGAGTACGAGAACATGCTGCGTTCAGTGTCCATCCGGAGAATGTCGTACCTGCTGCTATGTGGCGAGAAGAACGAGTTCTTGACGTCGTTGCCGAACGTGCAGGAGAAGCTCGTCGATATCTTCAAGAATGTGACTGCACCGACGGTGCTGGCGGAAGTGTTCTTGTGCATGAGGGTGTTGCTTTGTCGGTTGAGTCCGAGGAACTTGACGAGCTTCTGGCCAGTCATCATGTCGGAGACGGTGCGTTCTAGCGATCTGCTTGTGCTCATCGGATGCTGATGCGGTACCGTAGTATCGTCTGCTCCTCCAGACGACGTCCGACTTGCCGATGGATGGCTCAGAGGGCTTGCCGTTATTACTCTCCGTCAGCAAGTTCCTGGACCTGCTGCTCGTTCTACAGACGGAAGAGTTCCAGGTGTATGTGCTATCATCCCTTTCAAGGAGCGCTCGTTGCTGATGTCTGCCCAGCCACGAATGGGCTTTCATCACCGACACTGTCGACGCCGTCTACCACCCTGACGACTGGCTTCCCGAGGCTCTCCTCGACCAACTCGCCGAGATCGCAGGCCAGCTCCCCGCAGCAGAGATCCAGCCTCCAAGCACCGGCACTGCGCTACACTTCCCCATCGCCACACCAAGCGTCGGCTACAGACCCTTGCGCCGGCCGATGCTGACGAACGTCAAGACTATCGACTCGGTTAGGGATCTGGTGTCGTTCTTCTCGAGCGCAAGTATTGCGAGTTACGAGAGCGTCTATGCCAGTGGTGGGAATGTTGATTGGGCAGAGGTTGAGAGGGGCTTGAATTTAGATGTTTTCGACGGTCGTTAGAGGTTGTGTGGATGTATGGACCTGTTATCCAGCGGATGCGCTTATACGCTTTCTTTGCCTTGCTGTTGTGATACACATCGCTATGTTTCTTGCCAATGTTCATGCCGTGACACCATTCATCCATAGTCAGAAACGGAAGCCAATAGATTAGGCAAACTACAACGCAGCGAACCGACCCGCTGAGCAATATATCCACAAGAATGAGTATGTGCAAAACACTTAGAAGTCTCCCCAAGCCTTGCGGAACTTGTACTTGTAGGGCAAGTTCTTCCTATGAAGACATCATTACTAGACGTGACAAGCCATGGTGACGCAACGTACCGCATCTTCTCCTGTGGCGAGCTCGGCGGCCTGAACCCACCGTCTCCCTCACCCCACGCGCCCAACTTCTCCGCCTCGCCCTTGACAGCCCTGAACTTATCCGCGGGATTCGGGTCCTCGGTCTTGGTCTTGCGCGGCGGAGGCGGTTGCTTCTCCGGGTCGTGCTGCGCCAAAGCCTCTTCGACGGAGATGCCCTGGAACTTGGCTTCGCGCTCAGCCTCGATCTCCTCTATCTTCTCGTGGTGCTCAAAGTGCTCCATGTCCTCGGCGTGCACGTAAGACTCGTCGGTCTGGGTCTCGGGCGTGTTGTGGTACTCTTCTTCGTGGTGGAGGAAGAACTCTGTGAAGGTGTATATTAGAGATGTATAAATTGTCCAGTGTGTTACGTACCGCTCTCAACGTCGTAATGGTGTCCGTGGGCACCCAGGTCGTCGAAATTGGGCAAGGCCTCGATGCCCGCCGCCTCGAACTCCTCGAGCGAAACCATCTCGTCGCCGTCCTTGTCCATCGCCTTCAACACGCTCCCCACAATCGCCTGCGTCTTCTTTGCATGCTGAAATTCGTCCTGTACAGAACGGTATTAGATAGCTTCAAGTGAGGTCTGGTGTGGGTACGGGCCTTGGACATCTTCTTGGCGTAGGTGTGGTGCATACCGTAGACGGCTTCAATCTCTTCTTTATTCCACATTCCGTCACTAAGAGCACATATAAGCGAAGCAAAGGATCGCATAGGATGACTACCCACCGGTCGAGGTCGTGAAGTGTAAAGAAACTCGGAAGGTCGAACGAGTCTCTATTCCATGCGTGAGTCTGCTGCACGCTTGTGAGCCCCATCTTATACATACATGTGATGTTCTTGAGCCATCTATACACTAATGTCAGAGAGTGCGGTGATAATATACAGTCGAACGACGTACATGGCGCTGAGCATAATCGCCGGGCCCTCTGACCCTGTTCAACGCGTCGTCCGTCGGCGGCACGATTTCAGCCGCCGCATCTGCGTTGCTCTTCGCCGCCGCATCGGCATTGTGGTTGCCGTGCGCGTAGACACTGCCGAGGTGTAGGAGGGGGAGGACGGCGAGCGACTGGACACGCATGATGGGAGTAAACGCTAATGATGGACAAGTGCTTGAACACGAACAACGCCGCGCGCTGTTCCTGCCACGATCAATTGTTGGCGTCTCGATCTCACGCTACCCCGCATAGGACCAAATAATATGGGCTTGGGATGTGTACAGTAGATACATGCTCGACGGTCATGTAAGGCCACAGTGATAGTAGACTAGAACCAGAGGAATTCCGTATACGTAGATAATAGCACAAGAGATACATTGAGGGAAGATACAATCCGTCCGGTGTGTGTGGTGTGTTTACAACGAACATGACGACTGGGTGTCTATGTCGTATGATGCCTCCGTAGCTGGGGACGAGGAGCAGTAGCAGGCCGGCTATTCGCGGCTTCTGCGCGAGACATGAAGGCAGAGTACAGGACCTCGTACACGAGCACGGCTTGCTCGGGTCTTTGGACCATGCCAGGGCGTTGTTCCCTCAGCGAGTCGATCTCCTGGGCTATCTCGTCCCCGGCTATCTCTGCTGGCATCGGGTCCAAGGGTGACGGCGTAGGTGGTTGTACGCCGGATGAGGGTGTGGAGTTGGGCGGTCTCGGGCCGAGCATGCCGTGTGCGCGCATGAGGGAGCAGAGGGCGATGAAGGAGCCCGTTCGGCCTACGCCTGCGGAACAGTGCACCATAATAGGCGGGGGGCCGTCCGACGACGATGCGGGCTCGTTTGATAGTGATGAGGTGTCGGCATTAATGCGGTCGACTAGCCGGACGAAGTTGAGCAGGCCTGTTCTGTCTTCCGGTTCTGGTACGCCGTGGTCGGGCCAGGAATAATACAGCAAGTGATGAAAGATGACGGGTGGCGCAGAGGGTGTGGAAATAGATAGTGTGCTGAGGACACAGTGCGCGGACGGAATACTCTCGCTCTTGACGAGTGTAATACACAACGGTGGCAGATCCTTCCTGTTGGACGGAGGGTCGAGCGTCACGGGCTGGCCGGTCCGTGCGGAGAAGTACGGGTCTGCCTTTTTCCTGCCGTCCTCGACGTTCTGCGTCAACTGGACGACGGTGCGCACGCGTGTCTTGCGGCCGGAGGAGGTGACGGGTTCCAGGCCTGCGACGAAGGAGAGAAAGTCATGGGACGTCTCGGGCAGCGGCGCCTGCGTCGCTATCCACCAGGCCCCTCCCAGCCTCTCCCGCACCCAGTTCCCATTAAAATACCTCCCATTGGGTTTCGCGGCTGTGCGATCGTACGGCTCGATGTCCATGTACCGGTTCGAGAACGTGTTCTCGGGCCGGCTGGCGTTGACTACCGAATACCGATCCGAGTGCTGGGAGGTGTGTGCGAATATAGTCGGAGGAATGGACGCAAGCCGGCTGCGGAGCTGGATGGGGCGCTCCTTGGATGCGCGGCGTGCTTGGATGCGGGCGCGTTCGCGGTCTGCGAGGACCTGGAGGACGTGCGGGATGTGTTGCGGGTCATCGCGCGCGCGGGTCAGCCATTGCGGCACAGAAGAGCTCATGCGTGTATGTGAGCGAATATCAGATAGTAGTGGTGGGTAGTGGAGAGCGTAGGTGATCAGGACTGGGCCGACAGGTCTTCTATTCACTTGTCCCAGGCCGCCGTGTGCAGAGGTATAGGCGGTGTATACCCGCCCTCGGCCGCCACTTGTCCAGTGACCACCACCATGCACTCCCTCATATCCCCCGATGCGCGAATAAAGTTGGCTTTCGCTCCTAGATCTTACCCGACAGGTCTTGATCTCATGCGCCGATCTTCAGAGTCAGCTCGACGCTCGATAAATCGGTCGGCAAAAAGTACTTGACGGACGGAAGTCCCGAGACGTGCTGGACATCGCAACAGGTCCTTGAGTCTCTGAAGCTATCGTATGGTCCCGGCTCAATAAGGTTCTGTTAGGGATCGCCACAGTATATACAAATACTCTTTCCAAGTCCGGTCTTGTTGAAGCAAGTTGCGATCACTTTTCAAGGAGGCTTTGTTGGGACGCGCTGCACGGTCGATGCACGGACGTCAGAATCGGGGGACTGGTCAAATTTGACCGCCGTTTATCCTGAAGACGTGAACAGAAAACAAGTCTTCGATGTGGTGTCTCCTGATCCTGTACAGGGCCTGAAGCTTACTTTCGAGGAGAGCTCTGACTTCTTTGGACGGATCACCATATATGACCTCGATGTTCAGGGTGACGATCCGTAGTAACTGTTCAATGAGGCTCCCTGCCCTATAATTTCAATGCATTTGCAGGCGCGTTGATTGCACGTTTGCCGTTAGCGTTGCTGTGGCGCAAAGCTCCGGTGCAGCCCGAGCGCTTGTTCGAGGCTAAGACATGTTCGGTTCGCCATGTCAAATCAGACGGTCAGTATACGCATCCCCGCGTATATGTGATCCCCTTCGGCATGGCCTCCGCCGAGAATGAACGTCACGACTGGCTCAATCAAAAGGTTCACGCGAGAGAAGAATGACATTTCATGAGAATAAAGTGCCTTATATCGGACATATTCTGGGGTCGTAGCCAAGAAGCGCAGCTACAGTGTGACCATACACGTATACGCTAGACGCGACCTTCGGGGCGACCAAAGCGAGTTCGTCGTCGTAGCACCCTATGAAGCAAGGATTGTAGCGATCAATGTGTCCGAGTGCATGTTGTGCGGCAATTGATGGCCGTTTGCAGTGCGAGCCGCGGGCAGATTCAGCCTAAAGCTTGCCTCCCACCGTCTCGGGGTTTCAGTCGACGGCTGTATCCCAGCCAAACTCTGCCTTTCCTTTCTTTATTCCTAACCGCCATCATGCAACCTCATTCACGTCTCTGGACGTCGCTGGCCGCGGTCGCCGCTCTGGCCGCGCAGGTGCAGGGCCTCGGGAAGGTCTCGCGCACCGGCAAGTACCTCTTCAATGAGGACGGAAGCCGTTTCTACATCAAGGGTGTCGCCTACCAGCCACAGGGTGCGCAGTCATATATTTATTAATTTATGCTCTGTGACTGACTGAGAGTATAGGCGAGATTGACAGTACGAGCGGCTTTGTCGAGCCGACGTCGTTCACGGACCCGCTCGCGGACTCTTCGGCCTGCTCGCGCGATCTGCCCTACCTGAAGGACCTCGGCGTCAACGTCGTGCACGTGTACTCTGTCAACTCGAGCCTCAGCCACGACGCATGCATGTCCGCACTCAGTGGCGCGGGCATCTACACAATGTAAGCGCCCGAAACCTTGATCCCCGCCCGAGCGCCTATTGAACGGCGCCCATTTAGTATCGACCTTACGCTCCCTGTCAACGGCTCCATCGACCGCTCGGCACCCCAGTGGACGACTTCCTTGCTCGACCAGTATCTCACGACCATCGACGCGTTCGAGAAGTACGACAATGTATTGGCTTATGGTGTTGGTAACGAGGTCATAATCGGCGCGGACGGCACGTTCGTAGCGCCGTACATCAAAGCGGGTGCTCGTGATGTCCGTGCATACCTGTACGTTCCCCGGACGACTGCGCGATTCCCTTCGTGGTGCTAATCATTGTTATGCAGCAACTCGATCAAGTCGAGTGCATTGGTCGCGTACTCGGCTGTTGACGGCGACACATGGATCTACGACCTCGCTCAATACCTCAACTGCGACCCTGCAGGCGGCAACGATGCATCAACGTCTATCGATCTTTACGGCTTGAACAACTACGAACTTTGCGGCAACGAGACCTTCGACCAAGCTTACCAAGGCAAGACGAACGAGTTCGCGAACCGCTTGGACGTAGCGGCGTACTTCTCCGAGTACGGATGTGTGAAGGTTTCCCCGCGTCCTTGGGCAGACGTTGCGGCTCTGTTCAGCGATGAGGCTACTGCCGTATGGTCGGGAGGCGTCGCGTTCTCCTACTTCCCGGCTTTCTCGACCGACGGACAGTTCGGCATGGTCAACGTCACCGACAGCACCGTCACCACCGGCCAAGACTACGACAACCTCAAGACCGCATATGCCGCTGCGAAGCCGCAGAATTCTCCCACGCAGTCCTCGGCGCCTTCGGCGAGCTATGAGAGCTGCCCGTCGAGCAGTGGGACGTGGTTGGCCAGCAACAGCTTGCCACCTACGCCCAATGATGCGGCCTGCTCGTGCCTTGACAGTGTTGTCAGCTGCTTGTTCACGCCCAAGGTCGACAACACGTCGGCCATCGTTGGGGAGCTGTTCAATACCGCTTGCCAGCTTCTTGGCGGACAGGGATCCAACTGTGACGCTATCTCGAGCAATGGCACGACCGGCACCTACGGTGCAGTGTCGGGCTGTGACGCCGGTTAGTCTTGTCGTCGCGTCTCCCGATCTTCCTCCAAGCTAATCTCCCGCCCTTAGACACGATGCTCTCCTTCGTCATGACCCAGTGGTACGAGCTCTCGGGCCGCAACCCCGAAGCATGCTCCTTCGCCGGCAACGGTACTCTCAACCAGCAAGCATCGACAACCGCATCCGGCGTCGACGCCGCCGCATCATCATGTCTTGCCAGCGCAACAGGCGCATCGACGCCCGCTGCACCCACCGCCGCTCAGGGCTCGAGCTCGAGTTCCGGCTCGGGCAGCCAGTCAAGCAGCGGAAGCGGAAGTGGGAGCTCGGGGTCAAACGACTCGAGCAGCGCTGCGCGCATGGGCGAGGCCAGCTTCGGCGCGGCAGGCGTCGTGCTAATGGTCTTCATCAGCGTTGTGGGCGGTGCGATCACGCTCGCATGAGAGTTCAACGACTCCACACACAAACTCCCTGTACTTCCGTATACCGCCCTCCATCTGGACATTCAGCATCATACCCTCCATCACTCGGACTTCAGGCTATCTTTGGGCTATCTAGCTTCTTTCACCCTTACCCTCGTAATAGCTTTGTAGTATGTTTATGCGGGCTGCTCCGCTCGTCGCTCTTTAATCGGATACAACACCGTTATCTGGCATGGGGTCTCAGAGAAGTTATTCGATTCGTATCTGATTAGGTTCGGTATCGTAAGGTGTCAACGGCAGTATAAGCGCTGATGTGCATCGTGAATGGGGGTATCGTGATGTAGCCTGTATGAAGAGGGGAATCGAGAACCGACAGGACCTGACGAGAGGTAACTTTTAGGGCGCAGCGAGACGTATGAGCCGTGATACCTCTTCAGGGTACATCGACATCTTCATCTCGCCGTGCTCTGGGCCCTCTCGGGTCGTGTACGTGCTTTTGGGCGCGATCCAGTCCTGGCCGAATTCCGCGAAGGTCAGTATGAGGTCCTCCTGCAGAGCCCTCACTTCAGCGGTCTTCTCATCACACAAGTTTGGTAGCGGCGGAAGATTGTAGAGTTCGACGTGGCTGAGTTCCAGTAGCTCTCTTTGTTGTGGGTCGGCGGCAAGAGGCGGATCATAGTAGCCGCCCTTTTTGAGAACATCCCAGTCCCTACGGATAGTGAGTGCGAGTCTCAGACGACATTCAGGGATGGGGACATACAAGTTGGCGAACAACGGATGCTTCTTAGCTCGGTCGATAGTGAGGCGCTTTCGAGGATCGACGACCACGAGCTGCAACAACCTTGTCAGAAGGCTTAGTATCAGCAAACACAGGTGGGGCATACCTTCGAGATGAAGTCGAAGACAAGGTCATCCAACGCCGCGTTCGACGTCGTCGTACTCTCTCGGCTAAGTTCCCAGTCGGGCTGGTTCACCATCTTGACGAACTCTGCGTAGGCCCTTGGGTCCGTAAGATCCGGATCGAGGCGAGAGAAGAACGGCTGCATAGATGTCAGTCAGGTCAACCATACTAGGTAACTCATGTTGATGTCACCTTGGTGAGCTGCAGGGCAAACTCTAGAAGGACCACGCCGAGGCTGAACATATCCGCGCGAGGCGTGACGCCGGCTTGTGCGTGTTTTGCTGCAACCTCGGGGGCCTTGTAGTAGGGTGTCCCGTTTGAATGTACGATCAGCACATCCTCGTAGTTCTTACAGCCCTGCGCCTCCATTCCAGGCTTCACGTTCGGGTGCGAGCGGTCGAAATCGCCGATTACAAGATGACCTGATGGTGTGACGAAGATATTATCGGGCTGGACGTAAGATCAGACTTCACAGAATACTACGAGGTCCTTCAAACATCGACTTACCTTGATATCTGCGTGCAGAATGTGAGCTTCTCGCAGTTCCTCCATGCCCAAGAGCTGAATGAGAGTTTGTTAGATCAGCCGAGACCGGGAAAGAGCGTGCGCTGACTAGTTCGGCCGCATAGAAACTGAAGGTCTGGCTGTCCATGACATAGTGCGCGGCCCCGGTGGTGAGAAGTTTCTTGCTCGTAACATCCCGGATGTACTCGTGTAGCGATCCATGATACCATCTCTATACAGAATCGTCAGCCTTCGAACCCCGTCAAATAGCACTGTCCACACTCGCCGAGACAATGTAGAAGTAATCTGCGTCCTGGAATGTCGCCAGCGCGCCCGACGCAAACCGTGCTCCTGTCTCGCTGAGTGCACGCATCGTCTGAGCCTCGCAGACGACAGTCTGGTAGCCCATGTACTCCCGATGGCGGCGAGCGAGAATGTCCGCCTTGCTCATCATCTTGATTGCCACCTGCTTGGGGAAACTGGCAAAAGACTTGTGTGGAGACGCAGTGGTCGCGGCGTAGACAGGCTTCCCCGCAGTGTCGTCGGCAAGTCGGCCAATGAAATTAAAGCGGATGATGGCGTCCGTCGGATTTCCCACAGCGTCCAGCTTCCAGACACATGTGATCCTGCTGTACCCAGTGCCGGCTGTCTCAATGTATTCAAGACGGCTCCTGGGAACGTTGTAAACTGTGCGCAGGGGAAATCGCTGGAGGTGCTGAGAAATATAATGGCTGGACTCTTGGCTGGGTGAGGATACACTCGTTGTGTCGTCCGCGTCGGTACTAACGTTGTAGTCCATCGTAGGCTCGGCGGTGTGATAAGGCGTGATGGTGTGCCCGACATGCTCGTTACGTTCGAAAGACTCGGACGACGCCGTCGGGCGACTGACAGAACGCGTCTCATCGGAGTGCTCTGACTGGTGTTCCAATAACCGAGTAGGGGGCAGGAAAACACCGGGAACAGCATACTAGATGGGTGATCAGGTATATGTTCGGATCGAACAGGAAGTTCAGCTTACCGAGTTCGGATCGGGACTACCGTACGGCGAAAACAAGCTCTGGATATCCGGCTGTTCGTAGGGCGTGCGCGATTGCATGGCAGCAGACGTTTGCCATCGAGTTTGTTCGTCCGAGAGAAAGGCTATCGAAGGGGGTTCTGGCCCGGCAAAGGCTACCGAAGAGACGGTGTGCCGCGTTACCTGACGTGAGAGGCCAGGCGGTGGGCCGAGCATAGCGTTGATTGCAGCAGCCGGGGACTCAGTTGTGAGGATGTTGCTGTGGGTGCCGTAGCCAGAGTCGCGGATGGAGGTGGATCCATCGGGCGGAACAGACTGGCGACTGCGAAGGAAACGGCGAGGGTGCAGCGTTTTGGCGATGGTACGGCCGAGGCGACGGAAGCGTGAGGGTCGAGATATCTGCGCGCTGGACCCAATGTCGGGAGTATTGGATGTGTTTGACCCGCGAGGCAGATCAGGCAAGGGCTTGTACGCGGCACCATCTGGAAGCGTAGAACCGCCACGTAGTGGTAAGGATGGAAAGGGGAGTGTGTTGACATTGGCGTTGGTACTAGCGATGTCGATGGCGTCATCGCGATACGTCATGTTTAATGGGGTCGTGAAGGATTGGGCGTAACCGAGATTGACAAGATGTTGATTGTAAGCCATGAAGAGTCTGGTCGTGAAGTCGTGAAGTCGTAGGGATCCAGCCTAGAGCGGGAGGGGTGAACACCAGTCATAACACCTCGGAAGCAGAGTAAATATGGTGGCCACCAACGGCCATAGCATCGCCAGCGATCTTGCTTTGTCTGCGTAAGGAAGCGTGAACCTTGTCCTGCACGACGAAAAACAAGAAAGCAAGGAAACAACAAGAGGCGGTCGGAGTTGACATGTCATGGGCGTCTTTTTGTTCCTAGGTGGGTGAGCGTAGCAACACGATGATGGAAGAAGGACTACAGGAACGATGCGGTGCACGCCACTGCAACCTACAATTGAGGCGCGGGTTAAGTGGCTGATACCAGAAGCCCAAGAACGACGCATGGGCCATGCAGGCAGGTGTGAAAGCAGAAAGAAGAACAAAGATAAAGACGGTCGGCTTTCGGACCGAAGAGGTGTAGACGCATGCAGATCCCATTAATCGAGCCTAAAGGGTCCTCACTATATTCCGGTACAATAGATCTGTATGGATGTTGATTCCACGCTTCCCTGTGCGAGAGGGATTGTCAATATGTGTACCACGAACGAATGTTCCGAGCGTACTTTCTCCCGCCCGGCGAAGTGTGGGCACATGTCGTATGTCGCATTGGTTGTATCAATTGAAGAGCTCGAAAGCCATCCACTCCGGTACGACAGCCCCCTTCTGATCGACATCTATCCAGCGCGCCTTGTCCTGGTTGATTTCACCCTGTTCGTTCATATGCCCGAAGGCGTGGACAAAGCCATAGCCGAGCGCGGCCGCTCTACAGACATTCGAGCTGTATGTCATTGTCAGGGGTGGCCTTTTGCAAACATCGAGATTGGCCGCGTACTTGATGCCGCATACTACAGCCCTTGGTGTCGGTAGATTCAGCCCTTCCTCTGGCCACATTCCACTCAACATCGCGAAGTCCACAATCATTCCCCTCGTCAACGCCACCGTGACGCCCTCTTCCAGGGCGCCGAACTTTTTCTGATCATAGACCTCGTCGCTAGCGATTGCTCTCAGCGGAGGCGCCGCGCTGTCCGCCAAACTCAACGCCTGCGTCTCCGGAGGAAGTAGCATCCTCGTATCATCGTATGCGGCCGGATCGTCCGACGCGACATAGACCAGCTTTGCCTCCTTCTCTCCGAGGACACGCGTAGCAGCTTCCGCATGCACGCTGACAGGTATGGGTTGTTGATGCCAGTTCCAAGCCATACCCGAACGTCCCCGTCGGATGTGTACGGCCACATAGCTGTTGTTCGGCTCGAGCCTTTGTGGGAGCATGGAGGCGAGCTCTGAGCGAGCGAAGCGAATCAGGCGTTGGTTTTCTGCGTTCGGTATGAAGGTCTGAGAGAAGGACGTCTGAGCGCGTTGGTAGATTGGGCGGGCGCGGTGTAGGCCATGAGAATAGGGGTCCTCGAAGGTTTCGTGGAAGGAGTGACCGAGATGATATTTTGCTGTGCGGGCTGTAATCACCTATACAGGATAAGACGTTAGCAGGATGACGTCGGTATCAGGCGCCGTACCCAATGTCTAGAGTGCTGTTAGCATCTGTGTGTTACAAGCAGATGCAGAAACACTCACTTTGCAGAGCGTGGACATGCAACCAGCTCTGCAAGTATCGTCAGTCAACGCAAGGCGCTATATACGCAGATTTACCTTTCGAAGGGACTTGACACCCAGGTTGTGGGCCTGGCTGCGTCTTCTGTACATCCTCAAAGTGATCGGTCCAGCGGCCGCGATTCCAATAATCATCGTTGACGACAAATGTCCTATTAAACTGCGCATACATTTAGTCTCGCTATCATCTGTCCGCAGGAAGTCCGCTTACCTCCCTCGCCAGCCCCGCGACTTGCGCCATAAGATTCAAGTCTGCGATCAGTCCAACTGTCCCATCAAGCATATATGTGATGCTACTCTCGCAGATATTGGGATCTGAGGCAGTTGGATGCGCCACGTCTGGTCCAGGATCCCAAAACCCTCCCAACTTCATGAAGCCGCCAGTGAGTTTGGTGCAATGATCGGCATATTGGCCAGGTGTGAGCGGGAAGACGGTGTGGTTTTCGTAGGAGATCAACTCCGCGCCTGCAGCGGCAGACAGCTCCGTAGCGTTGGGGTCGAGGCCGACGTATTCAGCCAATGTGGCCGGTTTCTCTAAAGCCAGGTAGATCATGATGAGTAGAAGCGCTGATCCGACCACTCCTCCCGCAAGCCCAACATTCTTCCGCACCCAACCGAGCACGCTCAGGAGCGCGCCTGATGCTCCCTTTCCAGAACCCGACTTGGTATCATCCAGTCGATGACCAAACGTAGCATCGGTTGAAGATTGAAGTAGGGGTTCGGACTGGTGCGCCTGTTGTTCTGCGCGGTATGACTGGTACTCGTCGTCCCCGTACTCGTCCAACTCGACGGCGGTGAAGCCCTCCTCGGCGCGTCCGGCGCGCGAATGGGGTGTGCGGGGAGTACGGGGCGTGAGCTCGGATATGGGACTGGCCCGCGCAGTCGACGTGGACAGGTTCTGCAGCGGGACACGCGACATGGTGGCAAGAAGCAGCCTGTAAGGCTGGATCAGGCCTGGATGTTGACTTAACTATATTTTTGGCATGGTGATGATCGCGGTCGCGCAGGGAGATGGCCGGAACGGCGCACGCTTCGACGCGTCGCGTCACGACGCGCCGACCACGTTTGTCTCTATCATTTCCTTGCTCTACCAGCTGCCTCCACCTTTCCGCACTCGATCCAACTTCGTCAACATGACACGCGCATCACGCGTCGCGGCTGGGTCCGCCTTCCTCACCGCTCTCTACCTTCTTGCCTTCTTCACGTATATCCCTGTTCCGTTCGTGGAGGAGAAGACGGCGGGCGAGATCTTGCCTGTGGTATGTGCAACTCGTTAATCATGATGAAATATTATGGTGATGCTGATTGCAAGTAGGTGCCATGGTGGCTACTAGTATCATTTGGATCATACGCATTATACTCTATGGGTCATGGCCTGTACACCTTCCGCGATGCGGACGAAGCGTACACAGAACTGCTCAGCGTGCGTCAAGTTGCCACTACAACCTACATAGGACTCATGTTCTTCTAGGAAATATCACAAGCGAAGGAGGATCTGCGGGTCAAAGGCGTATCCGTAGACTAAGTGCCATCATCACCGCAGAGGGCTATCAAAGTCCGAGTTGTGCACGCTGTACTATCATTAGCAAGCCGTCGTGGAGATCAGTGGACTTGTGTATACCAGTTGCATTATACCAGCGCGCTCGTTGGGACCCAGTAGATTGATTTGTTCGGGCGTCATGGAGAGCACGCTACGAATCATCGCTTTCTGTTCTTCTGGAAGGGCTTCAAATGCAGGCGGGAGCTGTACTTGTGGAGGCTGTGCGGGTGCGACGGGTGCGGGAGGTTGCGGCGGATTGTTATAGGCCGCGTATCCTGCCGCTACTGGCGGCGGTGTGGGTTGGTGAGGCGGGGCCACAGCTACCGGTACCGGCGCGGGTGCCGGCGCGTTTGCTAATTGCTGGGCTGCCAGCGTCGCCTATGTCTGTGAGAAAGATGTCTACTTCCCATCAGATAAAGCATCTCAACTTGTAGCGTCTCGGGCTTTATTGCGCCCATTCTATGCATGAGCTCTACCAGACCGAACGCGATCTGAGGCTGGGAGTTGAGGATGGCGCGAGCCTGGTCGGGGGTCGTCTTCTATGCGTATCATTCAGACGCTGTGTCCCTCGTAGTACAATGCATGTCTACTTTGAGCTGCAATAAAAGCTCGATGAGCTGGTCTTCCGGCATAATAGCCGCCATGGTGGTACTAGCAGAAGAAGCCACGTGTAGCGCGTCGCGTCCAAGAACACGTCCGCATCCCACCCGGAATATCGAACTTTCTAACGCGCCGCCATGTCCACCGCCGCCGAGGCGCCATGCTACACCGTCGTCGTCGAGGACGGCTCCGAGACGCCGACGGCTCAGGACCTCCGAAACGGCCTCCAAAAGGGCTCGGACGACGTGAAATGCGATACTCTACGCAAGATCATCGTGTCCACGATCAATGGCAACCCCCAGGCGCGTTCATTGGATGCGTACTATACATGTCAGGGTGATATTGACTGATTGTGTATCAGCCTACGCTACTCATGCCGATCATTCAATACTGTATGCCGTCCAAGAGCAAGCAGCTCAAGAAGTTGCTGCACTTCTACTGGGAGGTCTGCCCCAAATACGACGAGCAAGGGAAGCTCAAGCAGGAGATGATTCTCGTCGTGTGTGTATCTTTTGATGCGCGCGCGTATCTTATACTGAATGCAACGCTAGTAACGCGATCCGGAATGACCTTGTGCGTATATTATACACAACAAATGTGAGCCCTCATACTGACGGGTGTGTGCAGCAACACCCGAACGAGTACATCCGGGGCGCGACACTGCGCTTCCTGCAAAAGATCTCGCGCGACGCCGAGCTGCTGGAACCCTTGATCCCGATCGTGCGGTCCTGCCTGGAGCACCGGCACGCGTACGTCCGGAAGAACGCGGTGTTCGCGGTGTACACGATCTACCGCGAATACGAGCATCTCGTCCCCGACGCGCCTGAGCTCATCCACACCTTCCTCGCCGCAGAGAGCGACGCCACGTGCAAGCGCAATGCATTCGTCTTCCTCGCCAACTGCGCCATGCCCCGTGCGGTCGAGTATGTGAGCCAGGTCTACGACCAGATTTCTGGCCTCGACGAGCTGCTCCAAATGGCGATCATCGACGTCGTACGGCTCGACTGTAAGACGGACGAGAAGCACCGCCCGCGCTGGATCAGGTGTATCTTTGAGCTGCTCCAAGCACCCAGCCATGCAGTCCAATACGAGGCGGCTACGACCTTGACCAGCCTCACGCAGAACGCAGCCGCCGTCAAGGGTGAGCCTACCGTTCAGAATCAGAATGTACATGAGCTGATTGGTTTACAGCCGCGGCATCTACCATGATCAACCTTGTCGTGAAAGAGTCTGACAACAACGTCAAGCTCATCGTTCTCGACCGCCTCGACACCCTCCGCGCCCGCCATGGTCACCTCTTCGACTCGCTCATCATGGACGTGTTGCAGGTTCTCTCTTCCGCCGACATCGAAGTCCGCCGCAAGGCGATCGCTATTGCACTCTCGATGACTTCATCTCGCAATGTCGAGGACGTTGTGCTCTTCCTAAAGAAGCAGCTTCAACGCCCGGCAGAGGGCGATGGCGCGGCAGAGTACCGCACGCTGCTTATCCAGAGCATTCATGTTTGCGCTGTTCGCTTTTCGGAAGTGGCCGCGGGCGTCGTTGGTGCTCTGCTCGAGTTCCTCGGCGATGCATCCAACCCTGCTGCCCTTGACGTTGTCGCCTTCGTTCGTGAGGTCGTCGAGAAATTCCCAGCACTCCGACCCGATATCTGCTCTACGCTCATCTCAACGCTCGCCGAGGTTCGCTCTGGCAAGGTCGCTCGTGGCGTACTTTGGATTCTTGGCGAGTACGTCGACGGAGAGGATGCCGTTTCTGCTGCTTTCGCTGCATTGCGTCGATCAATTGGTGAAGTGCCAATTCTCGCGAGTGAACAACGCGCGTTGGAGGAGGCTGGCGGCGATGCGGAGGATGGAGAGGCTACGAAGGAGGCCGCACCTGCACCCACCGGAGGCAAACCGCGTGTCCTGGCAGACGGAACCTACGCCACAGAGACGGCGTTCTCATCCGCCCCCGCGGCGCGCCTCGAGACAGTGAAAGCGGCCAACAAGCCCCCTCTCCGTTCTCTCATCCTCGGTGGTGACTTCTATACTGGCACAGTCCTTGCGTCCATGCTCACGAAGCTCGTCCTGCGCTACGCCGGCATGTCTGGTGCGAAGCAGGAGCAACTAGAGCTGTACCGCGCCGAGGCAATGTTGATCATGGCCAGCATCGTACGCGTCGGCCAGAGCAAGTTCGTCTCGCAGCCGATCGACGAGGACAGCTTGGAGCGTATCATGGGCTGCGTTCAAACGCTTGGCGAGATGTCCACCGTGGCCGAGGTCAAGGAAGCCTTCCTAGAAGACACCCGCGCGGCATATGGCAAGATGGTGGCCGCGCAGGAACGTAAGGCCGCGGAGAAGCGCAAAGAGGAGAGTCGCGCAGAAGACGCCGTGCAGGTCGACGATGTCATCCAGTTCAGGCAATTCAGCAAGAAGGGCGTGGACGATGCCATTGACTATGATGAGGACGTTGGGAGGGCTACGGGCGCCGGAGAGCTGCGCGGGGAGGACTTCATCTCGAACCTTAGCCGGATCACGCAGCTGACAGGCTTCTCGGATCCGATCTATGCGGAGGCGTATGTCAAGGTGCAAGGATTCGATATCTTACTAGGTAACTCAGCCTTTCACACTTCGATGGCTGGGCCGCGTTGCTCATGATTGTTCGTAGACGTATTGCTGGTCAACCAGACAGGCGACACCCTCCAGAACCTCTGCCTCGACTTTGCCACTCTCGGCGACCTCAAACTCGTCGAGCGCCCGAGCGTCTTCACAGTCGCGCCACACGGCTTCCAATCCGTCAAGGCGACGATCAAGGTCTCTTCTACTGAAACTGGCGTCATCTTCGGCAGCATCCTCTGGGAGGGCCCCGCGCTGGCCGAGCAGGCCGTCATCCTCAACGACATTCATATCGACATCATGGACTACATCAAGCCGGCACATTGCACAGAGCAGCAGTTCCGCGCGATGTGGACCGAGTTCGAGTGGGAGAACAGGGTCAATGTTTCCACGACTGTTTCGTATGTCTTGTCTATCCTTCCTCTGGCGAGTACATGTATTGATGAACGTTACAGCGACCCCCGCGAATACCTCAAGCATATCATGTCCTCAACCAACATGGCCTGCCTCACGCCCGAAGGCGCTATGTCCGGTGACTGCGACTTCCTGTCGGCGAACCTCTATGCACGCAGCTTGTTCGGCGAGGACGCGCTCGCGAACTTGAGCATCGAGCGGACTGAGGCCGGTACGATCACTGGCCATGTCAGGATACGGAGTAAGACGCAGGGCATTGCGCTTAGCTTGGGAGATCGGATTACCATGGCGCAAAAGGACGGCAAGGCGTAGAATCGTCGCTGTAGATATGTTCTTAATACGTGTCGATCGCGGACTCTCGTGGATTATTATTGCAGGATGAATGGATGCGTTGTGTAAATGTCTCAACAGCGAGGGAAGAGCTTTCACGTACAGTCAAAGATACTGTATTCGTAGAGCGGGCTCTGCCCGTTAAATGTCTGAGTCGGGAGTTGCCGAACTGTATCTCACGGTCGCCCGCTGGTTGCCTGAGCCTTGTTCCCATCCACCATGACACCTAGTCCCTCGAGGTCCTTGTGCCAGACTGGTATTGAGCGCCCATATGTGAACATCAATTTCCATGGTACAAATCCAGACATTGACCTCAGCAACGCTACACCGCATATGATGCGCCCACGTTGTTGTTCTACTCGACGCTGCTTTAACCTCGGGTTCCTCGAACGGTGGCCCAATTGTCGTGATTGAGCGACATGAGCTCGGCAATCCTTATTCTTGATAAGGAAACAAGAAGCATGCCACTCCTATTTCTACGAGCCACTTCTGCTGGCCCATCCTCGCCAGGTCGACGGCCCGCAGCCCAACCCACATAAACGCTACACTCACGGTCACATCCTCACGTTTATCACCTCATGACCAAGCTCCTAAAACGTCATCGCCCCCAGCCCTCTGGCAGTGCAAAGGGCGCATCTCCGACAAGTGGGACCCCTTCGGCCACATCGCGACGCAACCGCTGGTTCTCGGTTCCCGCCCTTGTTCGACGACTGCTGCGCAAAGCTCAACCGCGCCACCCTCAAACTTCTGGACTCGATGATATCGAGTCGGAAGAGGCTGTCATTGCCGTCGTACAGGGCGTCGCTGTCGAAGTTAACGAAGCCGGCATTGAGGCTGTCGCACCGCGACAGGAAAACGCTGGCTGGCGCTTGAGTGCTCCCGATGCGAGTATACGCGTTCGCCCCGTCACTCCGAGGCGCTCATTCCAATCTACCCTGGAGTACATTGAAGATAACGGCACACCACACTTCCCCATCCCTCTTACCGATTCAGAAGCTTCGCAGTCGCAAGATGAACTCCAAGCTAACGCTGCTGCCGATGCTGAAAGCGCGTCTGTGGACATCGCCGTCATTCCTTCGTCACCCTCCGGCACTGCCCCCTTTGGAACAAGTACTCTTGGGCACAGTCACGCATTGACGAAAAACGAGGACGCAGGTCGACGAGCATTGGATGCAGGCGTTACCGGTTCAGAAACTACGAGTGTTGACGCTCGTTCAAGCTTTGACTCCCATCCGGGTTTTAGTTCTGGATCTGGGAGCGTCCATAGCTCGGAGAGCGAGCATTTCTCCGTCCATCGTCTGGAACCTTCGGCAGCGTCTTTATTGGATGAGGATCTTGCCGGTCGCCCAAACGCTGCAGACGCTACCCTTGCACCTCATACGCATTACGAGGTTCCCATGAACGCGTTTGAGGGTAAAAGGCGCCGACTGAATCCGTACCAAAACCCGTACTACGAGATTCCCTCGAACTCACGACTCGAGGACGGTACTCTCGAGGACGGTCGATGGCTCAGTGGTGCTACGGTACTGCACTACGGCCCGGAAGGAACTGCTGATAGAGGCTTGATGTTCTCCTGGAAAGGACTCATCGGCGATAACCATAACGGCAAACTCGTTTACGGCGCTCATGTGAAAAGTCTCGGAAAAGCGGATACTACTCTCGACCCGTACCCGTGGTTCCCGAGCTACGTGGCTGTTAAGATCGTGTCTAAGGTCGATCTGTTCGAGGGTCGGCACGGGCAGTTCCTCGCTTATGGGTCCGTCGCATCTGAAGCTGCGGCAATGAAGTCCTTAGCATCGCAGCCTACGCCCAGTGGATTCGTCAACAGCGCATTGGCCACCTTTCAAGACGACTACTTTTTCTATATCGTTTCTGTGAGTTGGATTCATGTCACCTTGGAAATATGGCGCGCTAATATGACCATACAGAGATGGTACTCCTGCACTCTACAACAGTACATCTCCCAAACGAGACCAAAACTCCTTGCCGGTCATACATGCGACTATCCGTACCAAATGCCCCGGGATGTCTTCCGATTCTACGCGGCAGAATTGGTAAGCTACTTGCCTCTTCTCGATGATGACTCGGAGGATTAACTTCCTCTCGATCAGCTTTTGGGTATGGAATACCTCGAGGAGTGCGGGGTCGTAAACTGCGACATCAAGCTTGCGAACATCTTCGTCTCTCCATCTGGGCATCTAGCTCTGGCGGACTTCGACCTCGCTGTACCGGATGTGCGCCCTGCGATGGCCGCTCAACAGTGCGCTTATAAAGATGTCTGCATGGAGTTGGGTTGCTCTGGGACGTCCACATACAAAGCGCCGGAGAGGTTCAGGAACTCGAACGCGAGAGGGATTGCGACACCACGCGCGGACATATGGAGTCTTGGAATCGTCTTGCTCGAGTTTGCTCTGCAAATAGACAAGGCGAGTATATTGTGTTTGAATTGACTAACGCGATCATCACGTCTAACGCGGTTACCAGTCCTATTTTGAAACACGGTTCCCCCATCTCTTCGCTTCGGTCAACGATGCCGATGCGGCCATGAAGATAATCTACGATGACTTTTTCTGGGTCCTCCTCAACAACGAAGCGCACAACTCTACGGGTACTGCCTCATTGGACCCGTTAGTCTATGGGTTTTTGGTTAAGGTACGCCTTCCGCGCCGTTGTGTGTCAACAGGACTGTCGCTCACGGGCTTTGGACCTATTCTGTGTTTGCAGTTTCTCTTCTTGACTCCCGAGAAAAGAACGACCGTACGAGAAGCAAAGCAGCACGCCATCTTCGAAGGACTGTGTGTAATATCGCTTCGTCCCCCTTCCTTACAATTGATCAGGACTTTTCTAGGGACTGGGACGGGATACGTCGCGGTGCAATCGAACCGCCCCTTCTCAAAGAAGGTCATGATCCGCAAATCCATCCGCCTTTGCAGCAGTATCCCGCCATCACATGCGATAATGTGCGGATGCGGCGACTTCAAAGGAATGGTATGCTCACCTTCGCAGACTTTGGGTCGGACTGGATCGCCCCCGAATCGTCAGGCTCTCAATACCCCGAGCATGGAAAACTCGACATACCCTCGCCGGTCTGTCCGGGATCATTCTTTGCATCGGCTAGCAGTCGTGCGGCCGCTGAACCATCTACTTCTGTATGTGCATGATACTCATCTTGATACCCACATAGACGACCGTATACCAAGTCATGGCACACTTCACGATAATACTTAATGTATGGACAATATTGATGAATAGAGTAGTAATGACACAGTTACGACGGCATTTGAACATGGCAGCATTGCCTATGGTCGCCTATCGCAGAGTCCATGGGATGAATCAGTATGAGAGAGAAGGTATATTGGGTATAGGCTACTTGTGACTGTTCGCAGCCGGTGTGAACTCGGTGTGCGAGCCTGAGAGGAAATGGCCTGTTGCAGGTTGATCTTAGCGCCAGATAAGACGCGACGCGCCACCCGAGGACGCATCTTGCTCGCACCCACCACTTCCCTCGTTCGAACGCAGCTACTGCGGGTATCGACGCGTTTTTACGCGTCAAACTCATATATTTCTACTGCTGAGGGAATTCTGCTGCTTTCTTGTGTGTTGGACCGATATCGACTGTTCGCGAGTCGTGTGTGACAAGCCTCAGCCACAGCGGATGGCGACCCTGACCACTGTGTTTATCTAGACTCCTTAAGGCATACTCCAGCATGCAAGAGGGACTTCAGGAGCACATACTAAATGTTGTTTCTGGCGAGAATACACGCTCAAGACGTATTGGTGGCCCTCCCATCCACCCCGGTGTGCGATGGCTTACCCCGTGGTGGAGAACTTGGGATACGAGAGAGCACACATTTGCTCATCACACATATAATCCGTACGTATTCTCCTACTGCACTGAATACCAACCATGGTTGATTGTCTATGCACAGAAACGAACCACTTGAGGAGAATATACGACAAGCTGCGACGGACTTTCAAGAGGAACGGCCTTGGCCGTATACTCATGAGAAAGGGGTTCAAAGCAGTTGGCGATTGTGGGAACAGGTAAGGTCACACATTTTCGGGATAGTGGGTTTGCATTGGACTCAACTCGCAAACACCAGCTTCGGCTGGTTATTGGACTTTCTTACCGCCCGACACTTCCTCGTCTTGCACGTCCGGACACCAATGACGAAGAGGTTAGCGATTCGAGCGACGACGAAGATCCATCCGCACCTGCCCCTTTCTCTCGTCGCCATACAGAGGGTAAGAAGCATCGCGTCTTTCGTGGTGTGGGAGCTTTCTATGAAGAAGAAGAAGACAGAGCTGCTGAGCAAGGCCTGACGCCTTCTGAACAGTGGCTGCTTCATACCGCCGAGATGCGCGATAATATGGCCCGCTTCACTCTTGATGCCGAGAAGGTGATGAAGTATCTGTTCTCTGCATATTTTCTTCATCACCGGCTCATGACGTGAGTACTGCCTTCTGAACCCTGTCATGAAATGCTCACGACTTGCTGTAGTACCCCGGAAGCATGTTATCACATGCCTGTCATTGCATCATATTTTCTGCGCTTCCTTCTTACTCATCTTGAACTGGATCAATGCGACGAGGCGATGTTCAAGCGGGCTTTGGCTGTGACGGAGCTTGCACGAACTGAGGTCCCGCTTGTCTATGACTGCATCAGACGCTCCACCATCGCATCCGATGCTTTCTCCTTGTTCTGTAGGGCAACATTCGGCGAGCTTCCACTCGTGCACGACGATGAATCTCCGGTCTTCTCTAAGATTTCCCCCTCGTCCTTCGCTACCGATGACTCCGGCCCCCCTAGCCCTGCTGGCTCTCTTCCTCGAACACCTACTCTGAGCGAGCATGTGTGTTCTACCTTGACCGAGGCACGAGCAAACTTGGTCTCTGACGAGACTGAACATTTTTGGCTATCCTCCAGTGGCGCAGCGCTCACCGATGCCAATGCAGCCCTTGACGCCATCGGGGTAGATGATGAGGACGATCCTTGGGCTCTCAAGAAGCCTGACCTCCCCTTGCCCGACCTATCGCCCACACACGTTCGCGGGCTCGTTGAGGCATCAATACGCCGCATCACGCGAGTCTTCCCGGCGAACTCCCAATCTTCCGCGTCTACAACACCTGACCGTGCGGTTGAACGCGTATTGCTTCAGAAATCGTGGGTCGTCGAGCTGGCCCCTCAACCGGCTTTCCGCAGCTGGTGGACACCCGACTGGGAAGCATGGCCAGGCTACGAGTCCGCGTCATTGCGTGTGCAGGCTGACGGGCGCGACTCGCGGCACGCAACTATCCGGCTACTCGTGTCACCCGTCGTGGGCAGAGTGCTCGAGCGCTGCCGTGGCATGTTGATATGCGGCGATTTTGCCGAGCTCGCCCCTCGCACCGGTGGTGAGGGTGGGTTATGGTACCTCGCTCAGTTCGTTGGACTCGCGCCGAGTTTCTACGAACCTGACCGCCCGGAACCGGACGATGGTGCGCCGCGCGCGCTTGCTTTGGCTTCGTTTTCCGATTTGCTTTCTTCTGCTTGATTTCGTGATATGCTTTCTTGATATAACCAAAATACCTACCTTCCGAAATGTGTTCTGAAATGTGTACTTCGACTTGCATCCTCGTTCCGTTCTCCCACGTGTTTCGTCCCCATCGCTTTCTTCTCCCTGAAATACGTGCACCCGCTCTCCTTACATGCTGTTGTGCACCATCATGCATCACCCGCTATCTTTCCGAATCGTTGAAATAACAAAACCTGCATTACGACTGTTGTAGCATTACATGATGGTTCGAAGTCCGAAGATGTCCATGTACGATACGCTGAGTGAAACAAATGTTCGTGTAGTGATTGAAACGAGAGAAACATGTTCATGCGCAGTTATAATAGTTCCCCGGGATCACACTGGGGCAACCCTGGGTGTCCTTGTTGGTCGGACAATCGGCGGGGTCGTCGCAGCAGCGAATGCAAGCACGAGGCCCGGCGGGTTCGATGAGCTCGACGTAGTGCTTGTACCTACGCGAGCATCAGTCATCGTAGTTGTCACAACGACGAAAAAAGAACATACCCAGTGCAAACACTGCCCTGAGGGTTACCCTTCCCGCCGGCGCCACCAGAGCTGTCATACTGTCCGCCGGCGTCCTTCGGGTTGAGACGGTCGATCTTGCTGGGGTTGATGCAGCCCGTGAGCTGGGCGTACTTCTTCCCGTTCTTGCCCTTGCCGGACTTATACGACACCTTGCCGGATTTGAAAAAGTCGGACGGGATGGTGCCCTGCTTGGAAGAAGTCTTCGCGGAGCTAGTACACCAGGTGGTCATACCGCCGGGATGTTCGCTGTCGCCGACATTCGTGTGCTTGTTCTTGGGCACGATCAAGCTGTAGAGAAGGTTAGGCGGGTCATGACCGTAGATTTGAGCCGGAGCGCACGTACCAAAAGTTCGTCTTGCTCTTGACGGAGACCTCGTTGGTGGGGCTGACGCGCTTATCAAGCTCGGCGATGTAGGCGGTGTCTGCGGACGGCAAGGCAAAGGATGAGGCAGCAAGTGCGACGACAGCAAAAGTGGCGAAGATAGAGCGCATCATGAAATGACGGGGCGTAACAAGTCGTGAAGAGGGTGGGGCTGAGAAGTCGTTGATGAGACGGACTGAAGCGCCTGTCAGGCCAGAGAGCGTGAGTTATATAGCTGGCGGCCTGCAATGACAGGCGGAATATGGCGGGGTGCTAGAGCGCTGATCCGCTCGTCTAGTGCACATCGCATGGTGGAGAGCGGCGATGTACGCCGGGTTTTTGATCTCGACAGGAGCCTGAGGAGGTCGCGAGGTCTCGAGACCCGTCCTGCCAAGAGCTTGAAAAGACATAGTCTCGTGATCGCGATAATTCATACATTGACATCTTGACTGTGAACGACGTCTGGGTCATAAACACGTCGCCAGTGGTGCGACGAGCGCGCATTGACCGCCCGAATGGGCTCGGACATAGTAGCAAAGAGATGACGGCGCGGCGCAAGATGCGCTGATGACCTCGAAGGGCGCTTCGCATAATATATGGCTGTTCTGAGGATTGTTCCAGCGGTCTGGCGTCCGATTGATCACACGTCCGCTACGTTCAACTCCCATGGCCTCCAACGAAGCAGACGCGCCTGCCATCGAGCACCTCGACGTAGCCGCGAGCCCAGAGACGCCGACGGCAGCCGCGCGCCTGCCCAAGCTGACCCTGAAGCCGCCCGAGGTTCCGCCCCCAGCGCCCGAGGCGAGCCGAGTCGTTCAGCGCCAGACTCCCGACAGCCATGCGGATCGCAGCCGGAGCCGAAGCGAGAGTGCGAGCGCTGAGGCGGACGCTGAGCGGCTCGCCACTGGCGAGGGCGACGAGGAGGAGCAGGACGAGCTCGACACGACTCCGCCGCTGCCAATGCCGCCTTCGCTGTCTTCCATTCCGCCCGCACCCTCGCTCATGCACGCCCACGCGTCCGCCTCCTCGACTCCCACGCCGCCCATAAGCCTCCCGGCAGCGCGCGGTCGCGGCCGAGGCCGGCCGAAGGGTTCACTCAACAAGCGCAAGCGCGAGGGAGCCGCCTCCAGCACCGGCACCGGGCGCGGCGGCAAGGCAAAGGCGGCCGATGCGGCAGTCGGAGTGATGAACCTGCCCGCCCCGCCGCGCGCGCCTGAGATCCCGCCGCCGGCAAGCAGCGACTTGAAGATCCGATTCGAGTCCTTCGCCCCCAACCCTCCACCTCCGGACGCCGCAGAGCCGCCGGCGAAGAAGCGGAAGACCAATAAGGACAAGGCGCCGAAGTACGTCTATCTTGACAGCTCTCAATGTTCATGCATTAACCGGATGCAGAGCAAAGGCGGGCACCATCACCATCCCAGCTCAGGCGCCTCAGACGGGACAGTTCCAGGCATCCGGCTCGTTCACGCATATCCCGCCACCTCCTCAGATCGACAATATCCCGCCTCCACCCGTACATCGCTATGTCGACCCGCCGCCTCAACACGCAGGAGCGCCTAAACTTCCCATCCCCCCTCACCCACCTGCTCCTGCTCATCACCCTGTGGCGCCTACGCCCCCAAAGCCGCCCAAGCAACCCAAGCAACCCAAAGTCACGAAGCCGCAAGCTATCGCAGAAGGTATGGTTACTCGTATCGACAAAGTCGAACTCCTCGCTGATCTTCACGTAGCTACTCCGAACTCGCCCCCTCAAGCGCCTTCGCCTGCTCCGACATCACCAGCCCTGACCGCTGCGCCCTTGCCTGTACCAGGCGAGGGTGGCCCTTCAGCCGCAGAACTCCTCGAAGGCGTTCCTATCCCGCGCTATCCGCTTCCAACGCGCCCGTTCGCCGTTAAGCCGCCCGGCAAACTCTTGGCAAATACATGGGCGTCGAATCCACCACTCGACCGCACTAAACTGCCCGCACGCCGGTGGAGACTTGTTCAGCGCGAGATCCGTGGCATAGCCGGCGGACGATGGTTCGCCAAGTCATGGGCTGGCGGCGAACGCTCGCCGCTCAAGGGCGAAGGAATGGGGGCTCTCGGGCTTGTCGTTGAGCCCACTTCGGGGGCGGCACGGCCTTCACTTCCGTTACCTGCTCCCCCCGCCCCGATGTCGTTTGCCGGGCTACCACCGTTCAATGGGATGAGCGGAAGTGCGACGCCTGCATTCTCGTTACCGCCTACACCAGGCGTGAGCGGAATGCCGACAGGACTCGCCGCGCTCGCTGCTGCTGGCGCAGCTGCCCAACACCTCGCTGTACCACACGAGAATGGCAAGATGGAGGTGGATGACTGAGACGACTGATATGATAGCGCATCTATCCGTCTGCTGTCGCTTCACTTGCTTATGTTACCCGACTCCCTTGTATCTGTACTCACGCAGGAAGAAGTGCAAAATTGTCGATTTTACTATACTCTAGGTTTCATCCATACGCGCCGACTGTTCAGGATAGCCCTCCCACTTCCCCAGTCCATCTTTGACGTTCACAATCCTTGTCCCATAGAACATATGTCCAACCGGCTTCACTTGATCGTATCGCATGATCTTCCCCTCCTCCTCCCGGTGTAACTGCGCGCCCCACACGCTCGTACTTCCCGTCTTGGAGTTGTGCGATGCAACACAGCATCCGCATGTTGCGCAACGCACTCGCGTCTTGTGTGGCTTGGTCGGGTTATTGAATTCGTGTCGGTCGGCAGCGGTGGAGGACGTCCAGGTGAATGCGGTTGTGGGGAAGTGAATGGTGTGCACGAAGGGACATCCTGTAGCACGGGTGGCGCACGAAGATCAGGCGCGTTGAATGCACGTCGAGGGGAATGAGCGCACCGTTCAGCCGCTGGCATTGGGTACAGTGACAGTAGCCGCTCAGTTTGGGTGGAGCACTGAGCGCGTATTTGAGTGCACCGCAGAAGCACCCGCCAGTGAGAGGGTGTTCGGGAGATATCGATGGTGCGGATGGTTCTGAGGACATGCTCTTTGGTACGAGCAAGGTACGAGACAAGATGCGCGATGCTTGGGAAATGTATTGAAAAGCCGGAAGGACGGTTGTAGGAGGCGGAGCTCCGCCATATCACGCTCAGTTGGAGACTGACTATTCGGACCGGAATGCACGCAAGAACGAAAACACGGGCAACTAGTGTACATGATGGTATGTGGGAGGCGGGTATCATCTCAATCGCAATGCATGCCGCCATTGATGTTGATAGTTTGACCTGTGGCGCAAGGCATCAATTCAACGCGTCCGCCGGTACTGCTTGCAAAGTACGTACCGGTGACGAACCCGGAACCCTCAGATGTGAGCCATGAGACGAGATGTGCAATCTCATCCGGTTGACCTATGCGCCCTGCAGGGATCGATGAGAGAAACCGCTCCCGCAAGTTCTCATCTGCACGGAGAACGCGGACTGGTGATAGTCAGCTTCGTGAAACGGAGTCTCTTTGTCTCAACGCACGCATATCTGTATCTGTCGGACCTGGAGCGTAAGCGTTGACCGTGATATTGTGTCGGGCTAGCTCCAGAGCTATACGTGGGCACCTGTTAGTACACTCGTGTGCCGATGTTCAGTTTAAAGAGGGCATACCAGCTGCTTGCGTCATCCCCCGTACCGCAAACTTGCTAGCAGTGTATGCAAACCATGCGTTATCGCCGCTCTTACCAGCAAGGGAAGACGCTCCTGTCGATGATCGCCTGATGAGCCGAGAGCACACCATGCATTGTATTTGATGAGGTCGTACCTATGATGCGCCCACCTCGACCTTGTTCAACCATTCTTCGAACGGCATGCTTGTAGCACAAGAACACGCCGCCGGCATTGACGGCCATGGTTCGCTGAAAGTTTGCCAGTTGCGCTGTGATCTCGGTATGAGTACCTCTTCACGGTCTGTTCGAGACAGTAGATACGTACTGTCAAGCACCGAGGTAAGAGAGTAGATGCCCGCGTTTGCAACCATCTGTCCGGCGCTCAGCGAACCATTCTACAGGACGCGTCGAGAGCGCAACAGACAATGTCGACGCTACCTAGCTCGCTCGCGACATCGTTGACCATGCTCTCCACGTCTTCCTCCTTCGCGACATCCGCGTACACTGCCATAGACCGCCTTCCCATGGCCTCCACCTCTCTCGCTACACTGTACACGCCGCTTCCGCTTAGATCCGCCACAGCTACGTTGTGTCCGTCGCGCGCAAGTCTAAGAGCGATGCTACGCCCTATCCCTCGGGCCGCACCAGTGACAATAGCCACCCGGTGGACAGGGAGCTTGAATGGTAGAGCAGCGGACATGATTAAGCCAGTATGGATAGGAGCACTCGAGCGATCGGCAAGTCGCCCTCCGGCTATATAGCACGAGTTCATAGAAGAGGGGCTGCATTTATGTCCGTTGGAGGTTAGCCGGTTCGCTGACTAGCTGCGATCGACATGTCATAGAACCCATGCAGAGGTGCACATGATGCATTTGGAATGGTCGCGGTAGAGTACGTGGTGGTAGGAGACAAACCCTAGGTTGCGTCGAGACCGTGATGGTTCGCCACAGGGTCACGGATGATAGATCCGTTCGGAAAACCCGGCGCGTTGCCAATGTCATATGATTATCTCACTCTCATGGAGACTGTCAGAATGCACGGCCCTACGGGCAATCCTGGTCCCAGGCAAATTGCGTATGCAGTTGAGAGTACGTAGCACGCGTCAATGGGCTCATTC